GACACACAGAGGGGGAGACAAACTTAAGACACATCTCTGGTAGAATAACAAGGCTTGCCCAAAGCTTAAATTTTTGAAAACTGTTTTTAAGTAGCTCATCTGGAATCGCTCCCAAATCTGGAAACTTCGTGAACAGAATGCTCCCTTCATAGTCTATACAATGTTAGTGACTCCATCTTTCCCAAACCTATTTTATTCCCATTGTGTTTGAGTTGAAAATCTTCACTGAATCTAAATCCCTGCCTTGGCATCCCCTCCTGAGGCAGGGTTTCTACCTCTTTGTTTTACAGCCTGGCTAACTCTAACTGTACTGGGAATGAACTTCTCAGACCTCAAGTCTCAAGCATAACCAGAGTGACAGGTAGGACAAGTCTGAGAACAATAAATACATTGCATCCTGTGGTCAGAAAAGAAAATACTGATATACTAACTTTGGAAATTGTCAGAAAAGGGAGACTATCATACTCAGTATAATGCTGTGTCTTCCAAGTCATTTAAAAAATTTGCCATCAGGCTTCTGATCAACAGAAGGAAAATGAGGCATTCACCAGAAGGGGCCCTTATCAATCCTCAACTAGAATTATTATTGCCTTATTGTGATGGCACCAAATTATAACCAGACGCTAGGTATGTACCTTTTTTCTTCCCTTTCGAATGGGCAGCTTTAGAGCCCATTACCGAGTGTGGGGTTTTGAGAAATTGATCCTAACTTAAAGCTTTAATTAATTGCCCCACATCAGGCTACCAATAGATTAACGCTTCTGTTCTGGGCACCACTACTTTTATAAAAAATAAAAATAAAAAGCTGGAAATGTGAAGAAATGAGAGAGAATAAATGCACTCACATTTAAAATGGAAAGGAGAGGACAGGAACCTTTCCAAACACCACAGGGGAAAAGAACTCAGCATCTCTCCCATTTAAAGCATGCCCACCATATCCCCTGACCATTGCTGAGCTGTGTTTACATTTTAGCTTTTACTGAGCCTTACAACAAATCAATTTGGGATAAAGATACAGCCAAGGTTTCATATGATCACTACAGCCTTGATAATTATTTTTCTTCACTGCTGACTAGATTTACCAGAAGGGCAGACAGGGGGGAATGGATGAGGGTGCTGACAACACAGTGGACAGTGACAGGGATGGCTGAGTATGGAGCCTCTAGTGGGAGAGGAAGGCTGTCTATCTGACGAGTTTGTATTCATGCTCAGATGCCGAGGAGCTCAGAAGGTGGGCGACTGTGACCAGTGATAGTCATGTATATAGAGATTAGAAATGCATGTGAAAACGTCTCAATGTCAATTGCTTTGGAATGAATTCTTCTGTATGAAAAAAAAAAGTTGTGCTGTAAAGTATTCCTTGAGAAATGTTTATAATTCTATGAGAATGTAAATAGTTTCACAGTAATTGTTTTTCAGTTAGAATATTCTAACTTAATTGCAGCGCAGTCTCTTTAATTTCTTGTTCATTAATTTTTAACTAACTTCATAAAAGACTAAGAATAAAAAAAATGTGGAAAAAAATCAAGGATAATTTTTAAATTTACATGTATTCATTTATTTAGAATGAGGATCTGTGTGCATGTGTGCACACAATGGCAAATGTGTGGAGGTCAGGGAAAAACTTGAAGAAGTCAGTTCTCTCCTTCAGCAATGTGGGTTCCAGGCACTGAACTCAAGTTCTTGATAGCATGCTCCTTTGCCCACTGAACAATCTTACAAGTTTTATTCTTTAACTGAGTACAACTTTATAATTGTTATGTTTACTGTTCATAAATATTCATACTTAGGGTTCTATTAAGTCCGTACAGTATGCAGACATTTAGAAAATACTGCTCAAATAATTTGAATGTTCTTTTAAAAACAGCTCTTGAGGCTGGGGAGATAGCTCAGCTGATAAAGTGCTTCCCTTGCAAGCATGAAGACCTGAATTTGATCCCTAGAACCTACTTATAAGAGAGCAGGGACTAGTGGGGCAAGTTTATAATCCAAGTACTAGGGAGGCAGAGACAGGCAGATCCCTGAGGCTTACTGGCTGACCACTCTAACCTACTTGACAAGTTCCAGGTCAATGAGAGACCTGTCTTTCAGAAAAAAGGAAGAAGGGGGCTGGAGAGATGGCTCAGCAGTTAAGAACACTGGCTGTTCTTGCAGAAGACCCAGATTCGAATCCCAGCACCCACATGGCAGCTAACAACTGTCTGAAACTCCAGTTCCAAGGGATCCGACAGCCTCTTCTGTCCTCCACAGGCATTGCACGACATGAGTGCACTTACCTACACACAGGCAATACACGCATACATATAAAATAAAAATGATAAAGTAATTTTTTAAAAAAGGAAGAAAAATAAAAAGAAAAGGTGGATAGTGCCTGAAGAACCACACCCGAAGTTGTCTTCTAGCCTCCATACACACATGTACACATATATACATGCTCATACACTCAGGGCCCCCCCCCAACACACACACACACACACACACACACAGAGTCTTTTGAGGTGGGTATAGCAGCACATACCTACAATCACAGCGCTTAGGAGTCTGAGACAGAATGATCAAAAGTTCAAGGCAAGCCTGAGCTACAAAGCATGACCCTGTCTCAAACTAAATAAATGTTTTTATTAATTTAATAATTTAAAAAAGAGCTTCTTTTTAAAATGTGTCTTCACATTTTATCCTGAAAATGGTGTTTAATATAATCAATATATAAACAACAATGCTTTTGAAGAAGAAACTTGAGCAAAAAGGAGAAACACAATCATTATAAGTATAGTACAAGATGATATTCCAAATCTGTTAATTAGTAACAGTTAATAATTAAGCACTGACTTTGTATCAGACACTGTACTTAACATTTTATTCAGAATATCTCAAGCAATCTTCAGATAATTCTATGAAGAGGTACATTATAATGGTCTAAAGATTTCAAATAATTTAAAGTAGGAGGTTTTCAAAAGCACATTCTTTAAACATAAGAAACCATATTTCAATATAAATATAAAAAAGACCTCTCCTCAAAATATTTGGAGATCATTCAAGTTATCAATGGATTAAAAAGAAACAAAATATACACACACAAAAAGATACAAAATAATGACCAGTAAACTGCCTATCAAGCCAGGCATGGTGGTTCATGCCTACAATCCCAGTAACCAGAAAGCAAAGGAAAGGAGGATCATTGAAAGTTCAAGGTCAGCCTGGTCTACATAGCAAGTACCAGGCTGGCCAGAGCTATATAGCAAGATCCTGTTCAAAAGACAGACAGATAGGGATGAAGAGAATAAACTGCAAATCAAATTATCATGCCATAAATTCTTTGTGCTAAAAAGTAAACTGATGGATTGAAATGTTTGTATAATTTTTTAAAGAATAAGAAAAGAAGGGATGAAGAGATGGCTCAGTGGTTAAGAGTACTGATTGCTCTAGCAGAAGACCTGAGTTTGGTTCCCAACAACGACATGGCTGCTAACCACTGCTGAAACTCCAGTTCTAGGAGCTCCAATGCCTTCTTCTGGCCTCTGTAGGCACTGCCCACATAGGTGCACTTACATGCTCACAAAACACTCATACACATAAAATAAAAATAAAATAATTTTAAAAAATGAAATGGGAAAAGTAAGTATCAGTATACACATTTTAGAAGAACAATAAAAAGTCTGGTGTGTAAATTCATGAAGGCAAAAAAATTTAAGTATAAAAGCAATGATATGAAATCACAAGGAATGGGATGGAGAGATGGCTCAGTGGTTAAGAGCACGTATCTTCCAAGGGACTTGAGTTCAATTCCCAGCAACCACATGGGATAGTTCACAACTACATGTAACCCCAGCTCCTGGGGGATCAGAAGCGTCTGGTCTCCGCAGGTACCCATACTTACATTCACAGATCCATATACACACATAAATATAAGTATATATAAATAAAAAATAAAATAAAATCACAAGCAAAAGTCAAAATTAATAGAAAAATCTGAAAGCTTCTATACAGCAAAAAATGCCCAAAATTAAATAAAAATATCAGATTATAGAGATATGCTATAAATAAAATAAAGGATATCCTTCAGCCAACAGGAAATAAAAAAAAACCCTTAAAAGACTGAAAAGTATAGATAAATTCAGACAAATTTACAAAGAAAAAAATACTCATGAAGAAATTTTGAAATATTCCAGAGGTTATCCAAAAGGTAGTAATTGCAAATCATAAGAACAGGGGGTTATTTATGCTTAAAATGATCAATAAGTTAGTGATGATACAGAATAACAATTAAAACATTTTGGAGCCAGTGTTTCCACAAAATCTTTTCTGTATTTCATTGTTTACAATTGATGAAACCTATCAGAAACCAACTGACGATCGAGTCACTGAAATCATTATACCTATAATATAATTAGTAAAGTCTACTAACTGAAATGTATTCTCTCAATTTCAAAATAAAGAAAAAAAAAAGGTATATGCCAAAATGTCTACTTCAGTATTATTAATGATAGTGGAAAACTGAAAAATGTAAATATCCAAAATTAAAAATAGTTAATACTATTACATATATTTAATTAGCATACAAATATTAAAATAGATGATGGAGAAAGAAAATCTAAAAGCATAAATAAATGGAAAATTTTCTATTTGAATCATATAAAATTATATTTGATTATAAGCAAGGATCAAACATGTTCTTTAAAATAGAGTGAGCATAAATATTCCCGTATTATATAATAGTTGATGTTACTAAAAGTCATTTGAAAAAATTTTTTCTTTTAAATATTTTTAGATATGGTTAGTATATCTTATTAAATTTTAAAGAATTAGAATGTTTTATGATGTTTTAAAAATTAATTTTCATCTAATTTCACTTTTAATACTAAATATAAAAGACATCATAATTTCATTTTTAAGCAAAATTCGAAAATATTAACCTAAATCTAATAGTTTTCTTTATGCAATATTCAACAAAAGAAAAGAAACCCTAAAATCTTTTTTGAGACAAAAAGACAAATTCTTGCCTTAAATGTGTTTCCTTTTCTTCCAAACTGTCTATTTGTTTCAACATCATTTCTTCTTGCTCTTTGAGATTCTAAGGAGATAGTTAACACTATATTATTTTGTTTCAACAAAATTATTAACTGAAATTAATATTTAAACCCTTCAACTATCAAAATAAGGTTTAGTTATACAGAAAGCAGAAGCTACTTAATTGGCATAGTTCTACTTTCTAGACTTGTATTAATGATAATCCTAACAATTTCTACATAGCAGTTAATAAAACATGCATTATTTCCCAATGAGGCTTTGAAGCTTGTAATCTTTGTTCATATTGTTTCATTAATCATTACCTACTAAATTAATAATTCATCTTTCAAGGTCAAAATCAATTTTATGTTCTCTAATGACTTCTCTTCTACCAAGGCAGAAGTGAACTTGTCAACTCCAATAACACTTTGTTCCATTAATACGTATGACATTATTTTGCCTAAGTTATTTAAAACATTTACTATTTTTCTACTAATTCATATGTTCTTCTAAAAAAGACAAGTTTATCCATTACTACATCTTCCATAGAATCTTTTTTGACTAAATAACACTTTATTGAATACAAATATCTTAATGCTTAAAAATTAATTTAGCCAGGCATGGTGGCACATGTCTTTAATCCCAGCACTCAAGAGGCTGAGGCAAGCGGATCCCTGTGAGTTCAAGGCCAGCCTGGTCTACATAGTGAGTTCCAGGCCAGCTGGAACTACAGAAAAACCCCATCTCAAAAAGGCAAAAAAAAAATTAGATTAATTTCATCCATTGGCAGTCTCTATTTTTTTTTTTTTTTGGTTTTTTTGAGACAGGGTCTCCCTGTAGCCCTAGCTGTCCTGGAACTATGTAGACCAGGCTGGCCTTGAACTCACAGAGGTCCACCTACCTCTGCCTCCCGAGGGATTAAAGACGCACGCCACCACGCCTGGCTGGTAGTCTCTGTTTTATGTTGTCCATTATCACCATATCAAAGAATATTATGCATATTTTTCTTCCAAAAACTATCACCCATAAGATAATCCAATTTTTAAAGTTAAAAGGATATTCAGAGGTCACCTATTTTAAAACACTCTAATTTTGCAAGTAAGAAAGCTAAGTCATTGGTAACTTTTGTCAACTCACATTAATATCTTCTTTATGTTCCTTGAGTTCTAGGGTCATATCACTTGCTTCTTGTAAAAAGTTTTTGTTCTCAAGTGAAAGTCTGTTGCAGTTTGCAATTAATTCCATATTCTTGAGTCTATTTTTTAAAAAATATATCAGATAAAATATTTAAATATGAAAAGATGATATATGAAATATAATTCAGTATAATCTTAGGATTAGGAAAGGGTAAGGGTATAAAGACAAGACTGGTTATTAGTTAATTCCTTAAGTTATAGGGTCACACTGCTTCATTACATTATATTCCCTCAAATGTATTTAAATTGGTTCCATATTAACTTTTTAATATGTCACACAGTATATTGCTTTGTATATTCCCCACACTCTCAATTTCACACACTTTTCTACAAAATCTGAAGACTGTTATTTTCTCTTTTTTTGAATATTTTATCATTTTTATTTTATGTATATGTGTGTATTGCCTGCATGTAGGTAAGTGCACCCGTGTCATGCAATTCCGCAGAAGTAAGAAGAGGGCTTCAGATTCCCCTGGAACTGGAGTTAAAGACAGTTCATAGCCGCCATGTGGGTGCTGGGATTCGAACCCAGGTCCTCTGCAAGAGCAGTCAGTGCTCTTTACGGCTAAGCCATCTCTCCAGCCCCAGGTTGTTATTTTCTTTACATAATTACCTCTAATAGTCTCTTAGAAATTGTTTCAAACTTTTGAAATTTTGATTAGTCTAGAAAGCATTAACTATTTGCAATTAAAATATAATCATTAGCATAAAAGTATGCTAAACTTTGTGCACAACACTAAATTGTTCTTACAAGGTCTCAGTGACAGCCAGGCAAAGTGGCACATACCTTTAGTCGCAGCACTCAGGAGAAAGAGGCAGGCAGATCTCTGTGAGATCGAGACTAGTCTTGTCTACATAGTGAGTGCCAGGTCAGCAGGGACTACAGGGAGACTATCTCAAAAAGACCAAAACAAGCAAACAAACAAACAAGGTCTCAAAAACTTAAAAAAGAAATTACTGTTATTGTCTACAACCAGGACCAATTCACTATGTAGATGAGACTGGCCTTGATTTCACAGAGATCTTCCCGCCTCTGCCTCCCAAGTGCTGAGAATAAAGGCCAACTTGGTCTACATAGTGAGTTTCAGGCCAGCCCCACTACAGGGAGATCCTATCTCAAAAAGATCCCCTCTCCCCCACCCCAAAAACAAACAAACAAACAAACAAAAAACAGAGAAATTATAGCCAAGGTTAGCATAGACACACAATGTTGCCCCAGCTGGCCTCAAACTCTTATCAATCCTCCTATGTCAGCCTCCTAAGTATAGGGATTACAGACATGAGGCATGACACCCAACTATTTACTTTTTCATTTTTATCTATACCTGAGAAGCAACCAAAAGGGAAAAATCATGTTCACTACCAGACTGGCTCTTGAATTTCTTCCTTTCTGACTGATAAACCAGTAATTATTTCCAAACTAAAATTGGTAAAAAGTGAAATCATTCAGTTGAATATTTTATTTGGATAATACTAGAAATAAATTTACATGTTGATATTGTACCAATACAAACTTATGAAATAATTTAACCAAATAAGTTAGTCCTTCTGTATCTAGAGATTACACATTCATGGACTTACCCAACGAGAGACTGAAACTACTCAGGAAAATTCTGTCTTTACTGAGCACAAGAAACTTCCTTAACTAGGAGTAGTGGTACACACCTTTATTCTCAGCACTTGGGAGGCAGAGGCAGGCAGATCTCTGTGAGATCAAGGCCAGTCTGGTCTACATATTGAATTCCAAGCCAGTTGAAGCTACAGGGAGACCCCCATCTCAAAAACAACAAAAACAAAAAGCCCTTCTTCCTTGCCATTATTTCCTAAATACAGTAGAACAACTGTTTACTGTAGAATTTACATTGTATTCAGTACTATACATAATCTAGAGACTAGGGACTAGAGAAATGAGTTAAAATATGAGAGGCTATGCACAGGTTATATGCAAATACTATGCTAGGACTCAATCATCTACAGATTTTGGTGCCTTCTGGGTCCCTGGAACCAACGTCCATAAACACCAAAGAATAACAACTGTATACCGATCTGAAATGATTTAACTTTGTTATGAATTCTTATTATGTAAATAATACATACTTCCTTTAGCAATGAAGTTGGTAAATCTTTTTTTCTGACATTTGGTCTCACTGTATAATCCAGCCCTTGAACACTTAATTCTCTTGCCTCATCTTCTAGAGTGCTAGGATTACATGAGTGAAACACCATGACTGGTTTTCATTCTGATCTTTAAATAGGAATAATACGCAATTTCAAATCCATTCATATAAATATTAGACATAATTTCCTAATATATTATTATCATAAAACTTAGTAATTAAATAAACTAGATATGGAAAACATACTTCTCTTTTTCAAGCTCCATTTTCAGATCTTCAACTTGTTTTGAATAATGCTGTTCACTTGTTGTAATGGCAGTTAACTTTATTTCCAAATCATGTACCTCTTTCTGCAAAATAAATGTATATATTTATGATAAATGTTTTACTAGGGTTTTTTTCATGTAAAAGATATGGTTAGTCTAAGAATCAACACATTTGAGAAAAAATTGGCAGGACATAAAAAAAATTTGAAATATTTTTATGTACCCCAGGCTGGTCTCAAATTCACTATGTAGCTGAGGTTGACTGTGAAGTGAACCTAGTGATTACAAATTGAATATAAGTAATTTCCATCTTGATATCCTGAAGCTCAACCAGAAAAAAATATATTTACACATAATTATTTTTAACCAATTTTATAACATAATTAATTTCAACTAAAATTTTATATTAGTGCTTTTTTCTCTTCTTTTTTCTTTTTTAAAGACAGTATCACTGTGGAGTCCTGGCATGTCTGGAACTCACTATGTAGATGAGGCTGACCAAACTCATAGAGATCCACTTCCCTCTGCCTCCCAAGTAATGGGATCAAAGGCACGTGCCACCATACCCAACATGTAATTTTATATTGGTAAGAAAAATATATTAATGAAATCAGGTAGTGTCTTATAATCTAAGTCATTCCTAGTACTATGAAAAGGCAGTGTATTTCTGTTATGGTCTGCAAACATACTTCAAATTTGAAAGACATTTAAAAACTAAAACATAAGCACTATAAAAAGTATTGCTTTGTTTTTTTGTTTTTTTTTATTATTTTTATGTGTATGTGTGTATTGCCTGCATGTAGGTAAATGTACCCACATCGTGCAATGCCTGCAGAGGACAGAAGAGGCTGTCGTGTCACCTGGAACAGGAGTTACAGACAGTTGTTAGCTGCCATGTGGGCGCTGGGATTCAAACCCAGGTCCTCAGCGAGAGCAGTCAGTGCTCTCAACCATTTATTATTTTTATTTTTTATGTGTATGAGTGTATTGCCTGCATGTAAGTAAGTGCACCCATGTCATGCAATGCCCATGGAGAACAGAAGAGGTCATCAGATCCCCTGGAACAAGACTTACGGACAGTTGTTAGCTGCCATGTGGGTGCTGGAATTCGAACCCGGGTCTTCTGCAAGAACGACCAGTGTTCTTAACTGCTGAGCTATGTCTCTAGCCCCAGGGCTGAATTTTAAATGTATCAGTTAAGACATTAAGAAACATACAGTGTTTCCCAGACAGTGTCATATGAACTCACATCAATGGTGACAGCATGCAAAAGACCTATATAAGCTAAAGCATAAAGGAAAGGGAGTAAAAAGCACCAACCCTTGCTGAGGAACTATTGGCAACTGATAGCTGCTCAGAAAGTCAGTTTTCTTTTCCTTTTATAAAAATTTTTATTTAATTATTTTTTTAAGTAAATTTTAAAAAATATTTTATTTATTATTTTTATTTTATGTGTATGTGCGTATTGCCTGCATGTAGGTAAGTGCACCCTTGCCGTGCAATGCCTGCGGAGGACAGAAGAGGCTGTTGGATCCCCTAGAACTGGAGTTACACACAGCTGTTAGCTACCATGTGGGTGCTGGGATTCAAATCCAGGTCTTATGCAGGAATAGTCAGTGCTCTTAATCACTGAGCCATCACTTCAGCCCAGTCAGTTTTCTTTAAGGATGTGATACTGGTTAGGTTAAACAAAGTTCCAGTGGATGAACCCACACCAAAGGGCATTTGAGGACACAAATTAGACTCAATGGGCTTTTAAAAAATTGCAATAGAGTACACAAAATGGGTCAGGGAGTAATAAGGGGGGGCTGAAGATAGGGGAGGAAATCTGAATATGATCAAAATACATTGCATAAAAAATTAAATTAAAAAAATTATTATAAACCATAGCATTATGCTTAAGACAGATTCTTAAATGTTAACCTTTCTTTCCCACATTACAATATAGAGGTTCCTGAGGTATAGTCTAAATCAATCATTAGCATATTAAGTAAAATAGAAACACATACTTTTAAAGAGAATTCTGTGATGAAATCCTTCACAAGGCAAACAGCTACACCATAATCTATTTTACAAATATATATTCTCTTAACAAAACAGTTGAAACAAAAATGCAGCATTTAACAAACCTCTCTGGCCTTTAAAAGACCAGTTAGTTCTTGCCCTTTTCCTTTTAATTCTTCAGCAAGTTTCTCAACTTGTTTCTTTTCATCTAAAACTTCTTGGTCTTCTGCCTATTTAAAAACAGTAGAAAAAAAATGACAGCCAAGTTTTATACACATTGAAAAATAATTAAACTAAGAGTGATAGAAGTATCAAGTATTTAATTGGCTAAAATTGTTTAAATAGTCATTATTATTAAATAAACATCAAAAACAAAATATGACAAAGGATTTAATAGAACCCTGAAACAAGAATAAATTCTTAATTAAAAACCTGAGATTTGGGGCTGGAGAGATGGCTCAGCAGTTAAGGACATTGACTGTTCTTACAGAAGACCAGGGTTTGAATCCCAGCACCCACATGGCAGCTAACAACTGTCCGTAACTCCAGTTCCAGGGGATCCGACAGCCTCTTCTGTCCTCCTCAGGCATTGCATGACATGGGTGCACTTACTTACATGCAAGCAATAACACTCATGCACATAAAAGTGATAAATAAAATATTAAGAAAAAAAACCTGAGATTTCTCAGGCAGACAAAAAACCAGCAAACTGGGGAAATGAACAGCATACTCCAATCCTAGCTCAAGGAATACTGGCAACTGATTACTGTAAGTGAGGAAGAACTTATCTTCCTAAAACAAGGGACTCTAAGATAGTCTGACTAGACCTCGGTGGATGAACTTGCACAGGGGAACGTCTGGGAACAATGACTTGACACAGTGGGTCTTAACAGGGATGACAGAGTATATGGGTTCCAATGGGGAAGCTATGGAAGGGTGCCAGTGGGAACAGGGGTATAAATATGATTAAGATTGTTTGAGATATTCTGTATGAAATACACAAAATTTAATAAAAACAAACTTTTAAAAAACCTGAGATTTCTACAGTAAAACAGTGGATTGGAAGTTGCCTTCATGTGACAGGGTAATTAAGAAAGGTGAGGTTAACAAAGGACAGACTGTTCCAAGAAGAGAATAACTGGGAGAGCATTAGCAATCACAAAGGAGGTGATAGGATGGCTGAAAAGCACAGCGAAACAACAGGACAAAGCAAACAGAGATAGACAATACACCACGGGAGGCTTGAGCACTGAGAGAAGAAAAAGCCGCCTCATGTGAAAGGTAAGCCAGGTGGTCCTAGAGAAAAGAAACTGCCGGCCCTTTACACAGGGTAAGTCCACAACGCTTGCCAAGTCTTGGATCCAGTTTTAAATTTGATAAAACAGTGACTCTTGAGTGATGAGTCAGTAGTGGAAAGGAGGTCAATTTTGTCATTCTTCATGTCTCAAATGGCTGTGGCTGGGAGCCTACTGGCTAAGACTAAGCAGTTCTGGGGACCAGAAAACAAGGAATTATCACAATTCAGAGAGCCCGGCAATGACTTGCCCATAGCCCTGAGGTGGGAGGCAATCATGGAAGGTGAAAGGCTAGATACAGATAATCTAAGAAGTTCAGGCAGCTGGAGGGTCAGACAGTGAAGAGCACAGTGGTCAGTAGCCACACTCTCCATAGTAAGAAACAGATCCCATCATTTGTGGATAGCTGTGAAGACTGACAGGCCAAGTCTGAAGTTAGTGGATGGCTCAATCTTTGCAACCATCTCTCTACTAAGTGGTTCATTGCTATTAGAACTAAGGACTCTGAAGCTCATGTTGAAATAACGTGACTTATCTTTTAGATGAAGCCCAGTTTTCCCAACTCTTTTATTTAACCTTGCCTCCCACACAGTATTTGATGCTGAGTGGGATATGAAAGCAATGAGACTGGTCTTCCAGTACAGATCTTAGGGCTGTTTTTTTCCCCCATATTCCCCACTGAACCAAGGAGATACATCCCATTGCTTAGACATTAGCAACTCAGGTGCATGCAAATTCAAGAGCCCCTGGACAAGTTAGAAACTGCCCTATCCCAAGCTACAAAGCTAAGTCTGTCCAGCAGAAGCTCTTAATATGCAAAGAAGGGAAATTCCTAAAGTGAAGGCAGTTCAGTGTTATGCATCTGACCCTAAGTAGGTCCAGGCTCAGCACTAGCCTAAACATTAGAAAAGACAAGAGTCCAACATCAACTGACAAACTACTCCAATATTAGAAATCCCAAAAAGAATCCAACTGAATATTTTCTTTTGTTTTATTCTATATTTTATTTATCTTTAGTTAAAAATGTTTGAAATTTATTTCTCCTATCAGATAGACCTGGGGTGTTTTGGTTTGGGGGTTTGGGTTTTTGTTTTTTGGTTTTTTTTTTTGTCCCTTGTGCTTTTTTTTTTTCTCCTTTCTATTGTACTTTTTGTATTTTTACTGGTTTTTTAAAATAGTATTTTTACTTTATGTGTATGAATATATTGCCTATATGTATGTAAGTGTGCCCATGCCATGCAATGCCCACAGAGTCAGAAGACAGTGTTAGATCCCCTGGAATTGGAGTTATGGGTAGTTGGTAGCTGCTGTGTAGGTGCTAGGATTTGAATCCAGGCCCTCTGTAAGAGCAGCCTGTGCTCCTGACCACTTAGCAATCTCTCCAGTCCCTTTTTACTGTTTTTAAAAGCTTTTGTTTTTATTTTCTATTCCTCTTCTTATATTTATCAAACTTTGTTTCCAAATTTTTCTTTATCGTACAATCAGATTTTAATTCTCTTTTTCTCTATAACTTCCTAACATCCTTCTTTTTCTTCTTTCTTTTATTTAAAAGTTCTTCTTCCTCTATTCCCTTCCTTTGTTTATTTACTATAGGTATTGATACTTTTAATAAATCTTTAACTTCATAACTTATTCTACATTACTTTTGCCATTTTCTGTTTTATAGTAATTGGTGGTGCAGTATTGACTTTAATCCATTTTAAGTGTATTCCATATCTGACTTAACTTGGTACCACAGCTGCCATAGCAATCTGTTTTCCCCTTCTGAGTGGTATTGGGAACTGATCCCTCAAAAGGTTGCTCACTAAGAGAATCCCCAAATAAGGTCAGAAGAGATATTCATATCAATAGATGTACAAATCACAATACACAAGCATAAGAATCACGAAAAATTAGGACAACATAACACCTCCAAGAGATCATAATTAATCTATTACTGAATCCAAATGGCTGAAATGAGTTGATGAGATGGTTCAGCAGGTAGGCATTTGCTATCAAATCTGATGACCTGAGTTTGATCTCTGGAATCCATATGGTAGAACCTACTCCTATAAGTTGTCCTCTGGCCTCCACATATGTGCCATGACATATATATGCACACATGCATATGCAAATACACACAAAATGTTATTTTAATTATTAATAGTGGAAGCACCAGAAGAAAAGAATTCAAAAGCCAAACTGTAAAAACGACCGGTGACACGCCGAAGAGATGGCTCAGTTGTTAAGAGCACTGGTGTTCTTGCAGAGGACCTGGGTTTAACTCCCAGCACCTACATGGCAGCTAACAACCATCCATAACTCCAGTTCCAGGAGATTCAATGCCATCTTCCGACCTCCAGGGGCACTGTATGACATGGGTTCATTTACACACATACATACATAAAATAAAATGAAAATAATATTTATATACTCATACATAAAATAAAAATAATAAATATATTTTTTAAAAAAAGACCAGTGACTTCAAAAAGGATACAAACAGTATGGAAATAGCACAGAAATCAATTTGGGATCCAGACAAATAACACAGATGAAAAAAATCAGGAACATGGATATTAAATTTATGAAGGAAATTGAGATTTTTGAAGGAAAAAGAAACAAAAAAAGTGTTAAAATTAAAAATTCTGAAAAACAGTGGAAAGCATCACCAAAATTGATCAAAAAGAGGAAAAATATGAGAAAAAAAACAAGGTTGAGGAAACACTATATTTTGACATCAATAAAGAAGAAAATAAGCATGACCACAACCTTTAACAAATGTGAGGGATAGCAATATGGCTCAGCAGGTAAAGGTACCTGCCACCAAGCTTGATGGCCTGAGCTCAATACCTGGAATCCACATGGTGGAAGGAGAGAACCAACTCCTACAAACTGTCCTTGGATCTCCACACACACGCTGTGGCATGTGTGTAAACCACAAAATGTGGTTTAAGAATTTTTTTAAAACACCTCTGAGACATGATCAAGAGACCAAACCTAAGATTAAGAATCCAAGAGGCACTGCCAGGCATGGTGGCACATACCTTTGATCCCAGTACTAGGGAAACAGAGGTAAGCAAATCCCTGTGAGATTAAGGCCAGCCTGGTCTTCATAGCAAATTCCAGGTCTGCTGGAGCAACAGGGAGACCCTGTCTCAAAACAAACAAACAGACAAACAAACAAACAAAAATCTATGAGGTAGGAAAAGCTGAGATTCTATGAATGAAAGGAAAAAAAATAAAAGCCTGAAAAACCTACCAATGATTACAATAGCTAATTTCCAAGACTTAAAGATAAAATTGGATGTCTAAGCACAAGAGGCATTTAAAACCCCAAACAGAAATTAGGAAAGAACCTAGCCATAGGATATTAAACTATCCATAGTTAAAATGCTAAAACTAAAGAACAAAGAAACAGTGAAAGCTGTTTAAGAGAAAAATGCCAAGTCACTTACAAAGGTAAATCAATCAGAATAACATCACACCTTTCAAAAGAAATTGTAAAACCCAGGAAAATACAGCATGATGTATTTGAAGTCCTGAAAGTAACCGCCAATGAAGATTATTATATCCACCAAAATAATCTTTTATGATCAATAGAGAAATAAAAAGCTTCCAAGAAGCATAGACTAAAGCAATTCATGACCTCTGACCAGCACTGCAGAACATAAACACTACACAAAAGGAAGGAAAAAATTTCAATCACAAGAACACAGGAAAGAATAAATATCATGAGAAAAGCAGACAAAGGAGAACTAGGAAAGAATTCCTCATGTGCAGCAGTAAACTTAGCACACTCCTAATATGAATAAGGGGAAAGAACAAATACTTAACACCAGGGAAACAACCAACAAAATTACAGGAATGATTGTGTTCTTAATTCTCTAATTAAAAGACATGGATTACCTACTCCACCTCACCCATAACCCACCTGGTTCCTCTAGGATCTCACT